CCAGTTGGGAAGAAGAGGGCCGTCCAGGGTGGGAGGTAGAGGACAAGAGTGGGGCCCATCCGCCGCAGCCCCCACTTGCCTCTGCAGAGCTCGCCCTCAATTGTCTTTTATAATATAATATATCCATATATTTGTCAATTGTCACACCCTTTAAGTCATCAAGTTTAAGCTTAACCAGACTTGGTCAACTCTCTCAACCCTAATTAACCATGGTTAGTTTTAACCCACATAGAGACACCTACGCCCCCACAAAGGACAAGACCCATCATTTATCCCCATCCACAAATACCCCTCTAGGTTTCATTTACTCGAATCAAATGTTTGTATTTTTTTAATTTCATGCGTGCTTTTGTACAACGTTAAGAATAATGTAACACCAACGCGATCTGGAACCCATCTGCAACCAACTTTCCAATTATATGGCTTCCCTTTAGTCAATAACTTGCACACGACCATTACAACAAAGTCGTTTCCTTTGAAACTTTTCTAGTCAAATTGTGTGTGTTTAGATTTTACTTTTTGTTACATTTTATTTATTTATTTATTTTTGGTTGGTTTGTTAATTTGGACTATTATTATTGCATATATAATTCTATTTTTCAATTTGCTGGACTTTTAAGAAGGAAAAAAATTGAAGAGCAAAGGCATCGGGTCAAAGTGGGGTAATTAAGTCATGCAAGACAACTCATGAGTTGTGAAATTTTCTATCTTTTATGTTTGGGTGAACTTCACTTAACTCTATTTTTGATTGTTAATATTTTACATAAATTCTTTTTTAGTTTCATAATTTTACTTACCTATCTCCACTGTGACTGATGTCAAATTTCAAAACGGTACCTATCTTGACTGTGACTGATGTCAAATTTAAAAAATGTAGTGTGTTATTTTATTATTTTTGTCCATAAAAAGGTTATTGTCATTTCAAGCATTCAAGGGGTAAAATTGGCCTTCTATTCATTTTATGCTACTAACATCAACAACTTCTGTTTGTCAAGGTTATGATTGCAAAAATTGATGAATGCAACCATCATGAAAAAATTTATCAGTCCAGTGTCCTAATGAAAGGGGGAATATGTTACATGTACCACAATCTCAGGAGAGGTAAGTGAAATTATGAAACTGATAGGGAACGTATGTGAGATATTAACAAACATTAAGATACATAAGTGAAATTTACCATTTATATTTTCTTACCTATGGCACCTGAAGTTTATAAAGTTATACCTATTTGTAGGAGACATATACATTGGTTGTATATATACGACTCTAATTATATTTTATATGTAAACTTGAGTCATCATGATTAAGTTTAATTTCTCTCCATATACTCCACTGGTCTCATACGGTCATTTCTTCTCAAACCGGTAATCGGAGGTGATTTTGATTGTGTAAAACCTTTCCACTTATGCTACATTTGGTGTGTAAGAATGAAATGCCCATTCCAATCATACTTTTGTTTGGTATGCAACTTAAAGTGGGAATGGCCATTCTATTGGAATGAAAATCCATTCCACAACTAAACATATGGAATGACCATTCCATTCCCAAGTAGTTTATTTTAAAAAATCAACTTCTCAAAACACCCTCATATTCCAAGTACAAAAACCACAATTACCTTCCACCACAATCATCTCCGCCTTTCACCACTACCACTGCCTTCCACCACCTCCGACTTTCACCATTGCCCACCACTTTTCACCACCACCACCGCCACCGCCTTTCACCACCGCTACTGCCACCGCTTGCTGTAACCACAACCGCCACCTTTCACCACCACTACCGCCACCACCTTCCACCACCACCATTGCTACCGCCTTTCACTACCACCACCACAGCCCTACACCACTGTCACCGCCGCCTTCCACCACTGTCACCGCCACCTTTCACCACCACTGCGACCGCCGCCACCTTCCACAACCACTAACGTTGCCGCCATTGCCTTCTACCACCACCATCGCCTTCCACCACCTTCTATCACCACCACCACCACCACCACCTTCCACCATTGCCACTACCACCACCACCACCTTTCACCACCACCACTACCTTCCACCACCACCACCGCTACCATTACCACCACCGTCGCCACCTTCCACCACCACCACCACCACCATCATCACCACCTTCCACTACCACTACCACTGCCACTTCCACGGCCTTCCACCACTACCACCACCACCATCGTCACCACCTTCCACCACCACTACCACCACCACTTACATTGCCTTCTACCACCACCATAGTCACATCACTATCTCCTTCCACCACAACCACCACACTACTTCCACCGCCTTCCAGCAACACCACTGCCACCTTCCACTACCATTGTTGCCACCAATTTCCACCATTGCCATCACCGCCACCTTCTAATACCACCACCTACACTACTATCGCTTTCCACCATCCACCATCGCCACTGCCACCATTTATTTTTAAAAAATTATTAGAAAATATCATTTTGTTAATTTTATTTTATTTATTTATTACTAAGAGGGATATTTTGGAGAATTCAATTAGAAATTTATTCCATTCTAACTTTTAAATTGGTCCAACCAAACACTAGAATGGTTATTATCATTCTATTCCTACACATTTCATATTTACAACAAAACAATAGAATAAGAATGACCATTCTATTCCATTCTCATTCTCATTCCATTCCCATTTTCATTCCATTCCATTCCTGTACACCAAACGTAGCATTAAGATATTTTAGGATTTACTTTATAAAATGGACTTCACATAATGGAAATGATCCATTTTGGACATAGACGGATATTCAAATAATTTATTTGATCTACCCTGTTCAAATAGAATTAAGGCAAGAATGATAATAATAGAAATTAGTGACCTGTTTAGTATAAGTGTCAGACAACTATAAAGAACTTTTCATTAAAAACATGTTGGCTACTTCTCTTCCATTTTGTTTTTAATTAAGTTCTGAAAAAATGTTTTTAAGAAAATGGTTTACCAAACAACTTTTTGTACTATTTTATTTTTTAAATTTTGTAATTGTTTTTGTTTTTGTTTTTTTTATACTTTTACAAACTAACTCTTATGCAAACAATGAGTGGAGTGATGGATATTGATAACATATGGCTATATATATATATATATTCAAACCTACTTATTAAGTTTACTTTTCAAAGTGAAACAATATAATTAAGATTGTTAATGGCCTGAAGTGAGACCTAAAATAAAGTTGCACCATTTTCATATAGTTGCTTCTTTTAGACTTGTTATCTTTCATTTGCTTTCAAAATTTAAATCCATGTATGTACTAGACTGATTAGCCAACGTGAAGTGATTGTTATTTTTGGTAAAATACTAGGAAAATGTGAAAATCAAAACTAACCGTTTGGCTCAAAATGTGCCTCAGGGTTACAATGGTAATTCTCGCGTGTGCGGGCGTGCTAAGGACTTCTAAGTCCTTGTATTCTTTTCCTTGTCTGATTGCTACTGTTACTTCGGCCTTAGTTAAAAGGCTTTGAAGTACTTCTTCTATTGTTTTTTAGTTAGGAATGAAGACTGGGAGAGATAAAGATTACGACTGTATAGTAATTTAAGCAAAATTAACTTTCTCGTCAGTAACTCATGACATTAGATGAAGATCAGTTACAACTTACAATCCTTTAAATATTATAGGAGTTTGGTCCTAATTGTGAGTTGCGCAAGGCGTTGTAGAAAACAAGTATGAAAACAATATCTAAATAGGTTGGACTTGTTTGATTTTTGTCAAATTTAATTTTTATATAGGTTGGACTTGTTTGATTTTTGTCAAATTTAATTTTTATCAAAATAAAAATTAATTATCAACTCACAAAGCAAAAATAAAGTTGTGATGATCTCTGTGCATAGATGAATGTGAGACACTGGACAAGCTACTACACTAGTAAGTTATAGGGTGTCATAATCTCACATCGTTTGAAAAATGTGAAATTATATGTAAGGTTCAACATCTTTCTATGATACAACACGTTTTAAAACTGTGATGACCTTAAACCCATCAGAACTCCAAAATTAGGCATTCTTACTTTAGATTGGTTACTAGGATCGGTGATCCTCTAGGAGGTCTCTAGTTTGGGAGAGCCAAAGTGGACAATATATTGTTTGAATAAAGTGAGGGTTGTTATACATGATATCAAAGACAAAGCCCAGCCAGAAGTATAGCCAACGAGGATGTTGGCCCCCCACGGGGGGTAATCGTGAAGACCTCTGTGGGCGGGTGTGAGACATTAAACGAATTGCCACATTAGCATGTTATAGGGTGTTATGATCTCATATCGCCCTGGAAAAATGAAATGTTATATATAAGGTTTAACATCTTTTTATGATACAACATGTGTCTCTGGTCCGAAAGAGTCAAAAGCGGACAATATTGTGTCCTGGTAGGGTGATGGCTACTTTTACAAAAATGCAAGTAAGTGGGAAAATTCTAATCAGAGAAATTCATCCAAAAAAATCTCAGAGAATTTTCACGCAATCTCGAGTGAAAATGATCCCACTATATTCGAAACAAAGTACAATCTAATTCAGACTCACACATACATTGCTCAACGTATGTGGCTTTGTGACTCTCCATCCAAACGCTCCAGACTTCAAGCTTACTTCCTTAATCCTTAATTATAGAAATGTTGTTGATAAAACACTCAGCGAATATTATGTTTCCTTCGTAGCTCAATCGATTCGTCCTTTGAAGTTATATTTTTTAACCCAGTTCTCATATAATGATTTGAAAGAAAAAATAATAATAATAATAAAAAACTCAATTTTACAAATTTTCAAACTATTTTTCATTTTACTTGTTCCGCAAAGTCAAACAAGAGAGATTAGGGGTAAAAAAGAAAAAAGGTCACTTCATAGTTTGAATCTCAACAAGATAGAACTCAAGGTTTGATTATTACCTCAGCCATGGATGTAAGAGACTCGGCGAGTGAACTAGGTTTTTTCTCGTCCCTCAATCTATTTCACGGTTTTCACCCCTCCTTATGACTACCAAATCTAATACTCCATTGTCAAAGCTCCTATCTATTGCACGCGCTCCAGCCTCGAGTTAAACTAATATATCATCCCACCATCTTCTCATTTCTCAAAACAAATTAAAATAAACAAACAAATAAATATATTCAAGTACAAATATTTAATACATATATATTTAAACTTTTAGGGTGTAACAAATGACTGCGTTTGAGTCCTTGTCTCCCCCACCTCTCTTTCTTCTTCCCTTCCCTTTCTCTGCACTCAAATCCTCACCACTTTGTTTTCTATTTTCTCTATTCAAATCTAGCCTTCAACTTCCATAACTCTCTTTTTCTATATTTTTCTTTGTCTTTCTTTTTTTTAATCTCTTAAAATAAACGAAAAAAAAACAGTTTAGTTTTTAAAATTAATCTTGCTTTCATTTTTTATAATTTTCTTGTTTTCTGTTGCTTCTGTTTCTGTTTCTTTTCATGTTGTGTGGACATGGCTGGTTTGGATTTAGGCACTTCTCGTTATATTCATCAGCTTCACCAACAAGACTTACACCTCCAAAGACAACAACAATCAGATCAAAACGAAGATGATGACAACAATACAGGTGGTCATTTTTCCGGTGACCACCGAGACGATGGCGGCCACCACGGCCTTGACTTGGTGGCTGCCAACGCCAGTCCGGGCGATATCATGGCTCGTCGGCCTAGAGGCCGACCACCCGGATCCAAAAACAAGCCCAAACCTCCGGTAATTATCACTAGAGAGAGTGCAAACACTCTCCGAGCTCATATTTTGGAGATCGGGAATGGGTATGATGTGTTTGATTGTATCGCGACGTATGCCAGGCGGCGGCAGCGTGGGATCTGTGTACTGAGCGGCAGCGGCACGGTGGCGAACGTTAGTTTGCGGCAGCCGGCGACTGCTGGGGCTGTGGTGACGCTGCATGGGAGGTTTGAGATTCTTTCGCTTTCGGGTTCTTTTTTGCCTCCACCGGCTCCGCCGGGTGCGACGAGTTTGACCGTGTTTTTGGCCGGAGGGCAGGGCCAGGTTGTCGGAGGAAGTGTGGTGGGGGAATTGACGGCGGCTGGGCCGGTAATTGTGATTGCTTCATCGTTTACGAATGTGGCTTATGAGAGGCTGCCGTTGGAGGAGGAGGAGGCAATTCAGATGCTGCCGCCGGTGTCACAGGGTTCCGGCAGTGGCGGTGGTGGTGTTGGCAACAACCCATTTCCTGACCCTTCTTCTGGACTTCCATTCTTCAATTTGCCACTCAATATGCCTAATGTTCAGCTACCAGTTGATGGTTGGGCGGGAAATTCAGCTGGCCGGCCTCAGTTCTGACTTCGGCGTGCATGTAATGGGTGAATTTTTCCGGTGCCGGCTTCGCGGTTTCCGAACTGATAGAGAAGAAATTCAAGCTTTTCGGAGCCGATTGGATGGGGGTGAAATAGGGTTTCTTGAACCATGAAGGTTAGCTGCAGACCAGTGCATCATCTTCACGGATCATCATAATCATGGTTCTCTTTTTATCTCTTGTTTTGGGGTTTTTGTATCTTTGATTCTGGAAATAGTCTTCTTGCTGTTCTTCATGGAAACTACTCTCTTCTTTATTATAAGGAAATGGTTTGAGAATTCAGCTATGGGTTCACTTTTAAAATTGGTATATATATATATATATAGTCACTATATATATATAGTAGTGCTAAGTGCTAAGTGCTAAGTGCTAACTCATCATATATATATATATATATATGTTTTCTCTTCTTGACTACTACTATCGATCATAGAATTTTTCTTAGTAGAGAAATTATATTGATGCATGCCTCATCAACATGACTTGCATTGATGTTAGAGCTGACTTTACTTTGGTAATGTGCTACAACTAGTTTTCTACTGAATAGCATGCCTAGCTAGACTCCCTTTACTAAATAAATGTTCTCATGAAAAAAACAAAAGTTTATCCGGAAACCCAAGCAAGTTGTCTTTACCAATTTTTCTAAGATGTGTGTGTGTGTGTGTGTGTACACACACACACATATACATATACATATATGTTAACAATGAAGAGTCTACCTGTTAACTTGTTTCTGATAAGGAAATAGTTCCTACTTTGTATTGTGAACTTGATAATTAATTGGGTCACACTATATATACATCAAGTTTAACTTGTTGAGCTAAGGGCATCCCTAGAGACACTCATTTTGCAACAGTAGTGATTAATTCATGGTGATTTACTCAGATTCCAACATAGTTTTTTTTTTTTTTTGAGAGTGGTTGGCGCTAGAAGTCTTGTCCTAGCAACTTGCAATATGATCCATGTATAATGGGTTTCTCTTTGTGATGGTGATGAGGATATATATCCTATATTTTGTTTAGGTATTAATTTCCTTGATATCTTTGTTTTTAGGTTGACAAGGATGGATGGTAGTAGACCATATATAAACTATCAAATAAACAGTACATAGGAAAGCTTATATATCCTTCTATATTTTTCCCTAAAAACTAGTCTAAAGTATTTTTGTCACACTAAAATACTCTTCTGCATGTGGGATACCCTATGTACATATATCAAAGCATACATATACTAGTGGTTCCTACATACATACACATATATAGTATAGTCTCCTAATTGGTGTTTGGGTAGTTTGCTCAATGTTAGAGCTATTAATTAGTTTTACAAGAATATATATGCTTATTGAGGCTTATTGATCATGAGTTTCTGGACAAGAAATGTTTAGCTAAAAGCTTAGTTAATCGTTTCAATCTATATCTTGTGGTTGCTAGCTTGTTGCAGTTTCCATTTGAATCATTCTTTAATAATTAGACCTGTATGCCTTGTATATATATAGACCATATCACTTTTCCTACATTTGGTTTCAGCTAATTAACTTAATTTGTGCTTTCAGAGAATGTTTGTGCCTCCTTGTGTATCTTATTTTTTCCTCACTACAAAGAAATCATGCTATATGTTTCCCTTTCTATCGTCATTAATGGAATTACATCTTATCTAGAATTTGGGATATAAATTATAATATACAGTTAGTGTGTGTAAGATATATAATTTAACAAGGAATAGCAGACTGAATGTAGATAGATTATCAAACAATTTCCTTGTTCATGTTTCGTTAAGGTGATGGTGTCGATCACATTTTTCATTCTAAGTTTTTCCAAATGCAAATAGACCGGTATATATATATATATATATATATATATCCTTCTCTACAATATAATCATAATTAAACGTACATTTCCTTGGCAACAAGGTTTTCCATGAACAATGGACTTAAATATTATGAAGATATGCAATGTCAACTATCTTTATTCCATACATTAAAAGGAAAATGATCATTCTGATTCCAATGACATCCTTATATACTGCACTTTGATGAAACAAATTCTCGTAAACCTTGTCCACGCATAATCACATTAGATTTTTAAAAGCGCATTAATGAAGGAATAACTAATCCTAATCCTTTATATATAGAGTGAACTTTTGAGGTCATGGCTAGGTTAAGGTTTGTATGATAGTGGTGGGAATTAGCTTTTGATATTGTGAAAGAACAACTATATCTATATATATTCTCTGAAAGACGAAAAAGATAGAACAAAACTAAGGTTGGCTGCTTTATATATAATATGTTCAAGATCGATTTTGTTGCTAGTATACCTAGATGGTATCTCTTTAATGCCTGTGTGAATCACCATGTCTTGCTGATTAATTTTGAGGTACTGAGAGAATTATTTAGGGTATATTAATTTGTCAGGTATATCTAAGTCTCTTAAAACATTTGATCGAATACATCAAATACATCCTTTGTGACTTTCGCCAACAATATCTCTTCAAATATTTAGCCTTATATTGAATCAAAACTTTCGCCAACACACACACATATATATGTTTTTTGTAATCAAAATTTTGGCTCTTGAATGATCATTTTTTGTGATATACAGGCAGCATAAACATATATATATATATATATATATATATATATATATATATATATATATATATATATATTCTTTAATTACTAAAAATCTATTCAATGATGGAATCCATAATAATTCTAGCTTTCAATTAGGCTTTCAGAAAGAAGGCAAATGTTTTTGCATATATAATTCTTTCAAATACTTAATGGAAACCACAATATTAATTTTTAAACTTTTAGGATATGATCATATGAAGCTCACACACAGCAATAGTGCACTACTGCTACAAACCCAAGGAAATTTGCACTAATATCATGGGGGATACTAAAATTATATTTATTGCAAAATAACTTGTTTTAAGAGATAATTAGCAACAATTGATCACATCATTTGCTTGTTGTACATAGATATCATCAAATATGAAGGAAAGGTGTAATAACTAATCAGTATGCATGTTAGTAATTACCAAACACTTGTTTGCTTACATTCTGTGAGATCATGATGATGGGTGTATGTGTGTGTGTGTGTGTGTGTGAGAGAGAGAGAGAGAGAGAGAGTGAGTGAGTGACTAGAGCCAAATGAAGGGTAGTTAGAACATAAAAATCAATGCTTACCAATAGAAATTAAATAATACAAGTGTTTATAAATAATAGATAGTAGACTTGGATTGAAATAATATTAATTGACTGGATTTAAGCATATTATAATATCAATTATAGTTATCTGCATGAACAATTAAACATGGCTTAATTAAACAGTTTCTTGAAAAAAATATTAGTTTAAGCAAGAGCAGTTGGTTATCAATTACATCGAAAAAGCAAAGTGTCTGCTTATCTATATCTAATTATATTTAGATTACCACATTTCTTCAGAAGTTTGATAGTTATGTACCATATTCATATATATATATATATATATATATATAGTTGTAGCAACAATTTATTATGATGGCAACACATTAATTGGAGTCTGCTTGTAGTCCTTCTTGATCGATCCTGTGGTTAGGGTGATAGAGTGACCTAGATCTTGTCGTTCCTAATCAAGATAATGGTTAATTAATATTGTGTGCATATATAATATTTAGGAGGAAACAACCCTCATCATGATGAACACTAAACTAATAAACAAGTTATATATTGGACATAGCATAGACAATGATTGAAATTCCAAGAAAAAAAAAAAAAAAAGACAACGATTGCTCCAATTCATTTTTTGTGAATATATAAAATGTTCCCAAAATGTTATAAATAGTAGTATATATCAAATTATCAATTTATCTAAAAGCCATCATGATATATATCTCTCTCTCTCTCTCTCTCTCTCTCTATATATATATATATATATATATATCTATTGTCATATTGACATTAACTTGAAAGTGTGTAGGAACTCCATCAACCAATGACTAGGAGAACAAGACCTAGTATCAAAGCAGCAGCTATATATAAAAATGACCGTTAGGGGAGTAACGGCTCTTAACAAGTCCGGGAGGCGTCTCTGGTGGAAGCCTTTTACACTATGGAGCAGAGGCTCCACCGTTGGTGTCCGGTGGTCGCGGAGGCGGTCTAATTACAGCAGAGGGCAGATTCCAGTAGTCAAATTAATTAGAGCCTCCTGGATACTATGGAGTTCTCAAGTTGCAGTGTTAGCAATCTTCCTCTGATGAGGAGGTCACAGGCATTGCTAAGAACAGGCCATTGGGATAATCCCTCGTAAACAAGAAAAACATTTAGTGAGTTCTTAGTACTTATAGTATAGTATCACCTACTAATTAAATACGATTGAGACACCCTTAAATCTTACTCCCGGTATACAAATAGTGGAAGGGCAAGATGTGTAAAGTTGACAAGAAAAGTGCAACCAAACTTAATAAAGGTCGTGCTATTTTTTTTTTTTTAATTTTTTTTCAAGTATGTGGCATGTACTGTGTGATAAGAGATTACATTTACAATGATAGTTGTGGATAACCACAACCCAAAGTTCGGCCCATCGACCAACAAAAAGCAGGCCCAATGGAGCGAATGATATTACGGCCCAACAAAAGAAATAGTCACTCCCTACTGAGATTACAGTCAAAAGAAAGCCGACGGAACACAGCATCGTTAGAGCTCAGCTTCATGGTAATGAAGATCTGGAATTTGGGGGCAAGCTTTGATGGTAAGAATTTTTTGGGGAGTTTTATTGTATTAATTTGTACTTATTATGTTACTATAATCCGATAGTATTTATTTCATTCTAAACTTTCAGTATTATGTGTTCTATTTTAAAATATAACTAAATCACTGTAACTCCTAAACCATCCTAAATTTGTGTGTTGTTATATATGTTTGATCAAGCAGTTTAGTCAATGATTAAGTTAAATAAGAATAAAAAAGAAGTAATAGATTGAGGAAGAAAAAAAATAATTTAAAAGAGAAATAGATTATAATTGATAGTTTAGAGGCGGGTTTTGGATAGTGATTTTTAAATAAAAATCTGAGATAGTGTTTTTTAAATAAAGTAGTCATGAGTGCAAATATCAGTGGCAATATAGTCCATATACCCCATTTGTGCTAAAAACACTCCCCATAAAATAAAAACGCTTAAAAAGACTATAATGCCCTCATTATAATAATGGATCTATCTTGAACTCGATTGATTTAATATTTTTTTAATAATGTTTG